GACCAGTGTGGGTAACTATTGAGCTCATAGGCATAAAGGACTGACATTGAAGGCCCATGCATGTTAGGGTTGGACTACCTACTACTGAGGAAGTGTGTAGTTAACTTTGATAAAATGACATTTGAGAACATCAAACGCCAAATCCCGGTAAGTGTTAAAAGAGAGGTTGGACTAACCAGGTGCCATGAAGCTGAAGTCAAAGTGACTGAATGAGTTGATGATGGTGAAGTAGAACCAAGTATAAATATTAAAGCAGAGCAGGAGAAAGACCAAGATTTGAAGCCAATCATTGATTTTCTACAAGCAAGTGTTATGTACCCTGCTTGGGAGAAGGTGTCTAGCTTAAGCCTTGTGACAAAGAACTATTGGGCACATTGGGACCAGTTGAAGCTTGAAGATGGTAGTCTTTTCCAGAGATGGGAGACTGCAGATGGGAAAGTGATGACCTGGCAAACAGTTATACCGAGAAAGTTACGGGAAGTTGTGCTGGGTCAATCCCATGATAGTTTATCAGGAGGACATCTTGGAGATAAGAAGACATTGAGTCACCTATGACAGAGATTTTACTGGATATATATGAGGCAAGATGTGGAAGAATGGTGCAGGACCTGTAGTACATGTTGTGCTAAAAGGGGACCCAAGCATGAGGGACGTGCTCTAATGAAGTTATATCAAGTTGGCGCACCAATGGAAAGAGTAATCGTTGACATTGCTGGTCCGTTGCCCCGAACATTGTGTGGTGATGGATTATTTCACCAAGTGGCCTGAGGCATATGCAATAACAATTCAGAAAGCTACAACTGTTGCTTCGGCTATTATTGATTTCTTCTTCAGGTTTCGTATGCCATACGAACTGCATTCAGATCAAGGTCGTAACTTTGAATCAGCTGTGTTCCATGAATGCTGCAAGTTGTTTGGCATACGAAAGACCAGGACAATGCCACTTCACCCACAGTCTGATGGGATGGTAGAAAAGTACAATTAGACACTGGGACAGGAATTGGCAAAGTTTTGTAATAGTCGCCAAGATAACTGGGATGTCTTACTCCTTCCACTGTTGGTCGGGAACTTCGGTTGCCAGTGGATCTGATAACAGGACGCCCTCCTTACAAAGAGTTGCCTGAAAATGTGCCAGAGTTTGTGAAAGTGTTATCTGAAAGGATGGATGATATTCACCATCAAGTGTGTTCAAACTTGAAAATGTCTGCTGATTCCATGAAGCTATGTTATGATAAGAGATCTACTGAAGTCAGCTTTGTACCAGGAGACAAGGTGTGGCTGTATAATCCCAGGAAGACCAAAGGGAAGTCTCCTAAGTTGTCTTCTCCATGGGAAGGCCCATATGACATATTGGATTATCTCTCAGACGTGACTTTCCGAATAAAATGTGGTCGGCGAGGTAAGCCAAAGGTGGTGCGTGCCAACAGGCTTTGGCGTTATCATGGTCCAGGTCATTTCAGTTGGAACAAAGTGAACAATGGAACAAATGACGCTGCTGAAGACGTGACACCTGAAAAAGCCACTGTCGAAGAAGAAGAAACTCTACCCAGTTTTAAGAAAGAAGACAGTGAAGCTGTTAATGAAGTTACTACCACTGATGTGACTGCTACCAATAATGGGGCATTTCGTGATGCAGCAGATGAACCACACGTGAAGCAGAAGCCAATGAGACGAAGACCAGTACAGAAGAAGATACGTCCTGTAAAATTAAGAGACTTTGTTGAATTTTAATTTTGTGTTTGTAAATTCTGTACATTTAATTAAGTCATTGTTAATTATCTATTGGTTTAATGTAAGTGGCTATTGTTTGGGATGAACAATACTAAGGAAGGGGCAGTGTTATGACAGTGGAAGTCACGCAACGCTAGGAGCATGCGGGCTGGAGTTTCTCGAAGGATCATGAATTATCGAGGAACCCAGCGAATGTCTGAGTGCTTGCTAGATGGCCTCTTTTTTTTAGTATATAAGTCTGGTGAGAAAAACCAGCACAATCAGAAGAGATAGATAGATATGGGAGAGATAGATAATTGAGTCAATCGAACAGTAAGCACCGTAAGTAAAGTGTGTGAATCGCTATGATTTATAGCATGTGTTATAAAGGTTGTAAAGTTTAAAGTGACTGTGGAAATTCTGTGTATTACCAAGCTGTATCCAGAAAGAATAAACTAGTTTTAATTAAGAAAGGACTTGTATCACCGAAGTTCCTCGGAAAGAATTTATACCGGAAATTAACAAACGAGCAGATACGTAACAATATATGTATATGTATATAGTGTTCTATAAAGATGAAAAACAGAAACATCCTACACAAAAATTACCTTGGTTTTCTAGGTAAGGTGGTGTTTTAGAATTTTATGTAACTTCATAAAAAGTTGCATATATGTTATTTGTTAACTTACAGTGTTTTACTTGCACAGAAACCAGTCATTCCCAGGAAAATGTCCAGAGCTAGGTTTCGTGTTTTCTCTGTGTTTGTAATTAATTTTTCATTGCATGCTTTAAAGTTCACTTTATATGTTGTACTACTTAAAATATGTCAGCAAAGTAAGCTCAGCCACTGACTTTAAAGTCTTTTTCTTTTTTACATGATAATTGTTTTTGAACTGTTTCATCACATGTATATGAAGTGCATTATGTTTGACTAAAAATCTAGTAACTTATGCCACATTACTGTGAATGTGGTCAGAAGATTGTGCAACTGGTTGTTATACTTCACTTGTGTTTTCTGTTCTTTAGGTCATCTGTGTTTGAGACATTAATACAACATTATTACTGCACAAGAATTGCATATCGTTGTTGATGCTAAGCATATTGTATTTAGAAATGAAAACTGTAAAAAAAAATTATGAAGTCAGATGATGGGTAGTAAAAATGGAAACACACTCAATATTGTGACTGAAGAAATGAATTTTATCTATTGAGATGGTGCTCTGTTGCTAGTAGAAAATCTAATAAAATTTTAAGATGTATTTATAGTATATATAAATCAAGCTCGCTTGCATGAGCCGACCTTGAACCTTCGTGCGCATGCGTGAATTTTTTCCCGCTTGTTGATTGCATCAGTTGTTGGCGAGTAGCCATTGAGTGAGGTAGTGTGTAGTGCTCTCGTCGGTTTTTCATTGCAAAGAATATGACGGAACGACTGGAGCAGCGCTACTGCATCAAATTTTGCCAGAAACAGCCAGGTGGAAACCATTCGGAAGATTCAGACGGCTTTCAGTGACGATGCTATTGGCATCACACAGATTAAGGAGTGGTACAACTGGTTTAAAGACGGCCGCACAATGGTGGAGAGCGAGCCACGCTCCGGTCGGTCATCAACATGCCGAAATGACCAGGTCATTGCCAAAGTGAACGCTATGGTGATGCGGGACCGTCGTGTGACTATCCGAGAAATTGCGGAAGAGGTGGGCATCAGCACTTTTTCGACACATTCCATTATGACCGAAGATTTGGCTATGAAGAGAGTGGCGGCGAAATTCGTGCAAAAGCTGCTTACGGTGGAGCAAAAGGAACTTCTTGTTGAAGTCTCATAGGACATGCTGGACTCCACAAACAGTGACCCCGACTTCATGAACACCATAATTACTGGTGACGAGTCTTGGGTGTACAGGTACGACCCGGAAACCAAATCCCAGTCGTCACAGTGGAAGCAGAGGACATTATGGCTGCAACGACAGCCGAGCTTTCTCGGAATTCCTTCACCAATGGCGGTCCCGCCG